ACAATGGTTCTTATAAAATACGAGATATATCTTTTTGTCTAATAGTCAAATGAAAAGTAAAATAGATTGAAAAGAAAAGTCTGACCTCTTGTAATTATGATCAATTCTATAAGTAATACCACAAAATACAAAAATACTCTATACCTCATGATTTATAAAATTGATGGTTTATCAGAGAAGTGTATTATTTGAATAAAATTGTTTTAGATAATTATTTAAATGACTTATTTACAATTATTTGAATAACTGTCAGTAATTTTATTTGATTCTAAATAAATGCCAAAATATCATAAACAAAACATATTATAGAAAATTATAAAAAAAGGTTTATTATGTATTATAATTTTGTAATAGGTAATTATGACAATAATAAATGGTAGTGAATATTAAATAATAATAACAAAAAATAAATTTAATAAATGTCAATAAACAGATCACAGAATACTTAAATTAGATTTTGAAATAATCTTTTCTTCAAACATGTCATCTAACAGTTAATTTTAATAAATTTATCATAGTTGCATACATTATAAATTAGAGGAGGAATAGATAAATTGATTACAATCAACACAATATTTAATTAATAAATTATTTAAAAAAAAAAAATGATTTAATTTAAAATATAAAATAATGATATTTAGTATAAATGTGAAGACAGGACAACTAAATTATTCTAAATGAACTTGTAGTACAAAGAATAGTGAGAATGAACTATTTACTTAAATAATTCAATATCAGACCCAAATTGAGCCAGCGGGCTACCAAGCAAAACCCAGTGGGTCGTTAAACAAATTTGAAAAATTTTGAGCCAGTTTGTTAATATTTTGAATCAGTGGAAATATCTTATCCATATTGTATTTTAAACATCAAAAATATGATCCTAAAATGTAGTTCATAACAAAAATTGTTATCTTCCATTGAATATTAATATAATGATATCTAATGAAAAATAATGGTTAGTATGGTCACTGTTAAAATTATTTTGTATTTATTTTAATATTCTGACCATGTACTAACGTATTTATGATCAAATTATAAACAGTATAAAACAAACATTTTTACTGCATTTTCAAATTTAAAGTATATACGAAACAGATTAAAAAAAAAATAGAAACATTTTTATCAATAAATATTGAGAAAGACATTTTGCAAAACATAAAAAATAAAGACGCCATCGAGTTATTAGCCAATATAAAGTAGTTTATTGAAAAATGTCCTCATTTGAAAATTATGTGACATAATATTTATTTTTATTTTTTAGCCTTGTATAATATCTATTGTTTAATAATAATAATAAAAAAAAAAAAAAAACTATTACAATTTTACTTGTGTTATTCGTAATTATAATACCAAATGTTTAAGTGTTTGATTTAAAATTAGAGAAAGAGAATGTAGTGTTTGTATTTAGTATTCAATTAATTAATTATTTATATATTTATATTTATTATATTAATAAAATTCTTATACATTTAGAAAAAAAATGTTTAGGAACTTGAGCTGGTCTAGGTGGATAGCCCGGTAAGTAATTTCTTCCCAATCTGGCACTGTTCAATATTCTTACATAGTAAAATATATACATTATACATATAGACTTACTTCATAAAAAATAATTTTAATAATTAAAATTATAATTATTATTATACATCAGTATTAGAATTATGTTTGAAAATTAATAGAATATTTTTTTATTTGATTTCACATTTATTCAAATAATTATTATCTACTTAAAATTGTTTCTAACATTATGATCTATTATTTTGGAACTTGCGTCATATGCTATCTACTTGAAAAATGTATCTACTACAATTGTGTGTTGGCGTTGTATGCTATCTACAATTTTCCACCCAGCAATCTATAGATTGTAGGTGTCGTCTGGGTATCTGGGCATTATTACATAAAAAAACTTTTTCATATCTTAAAAAAACTGGTCAAAAAGATTCTTTAATGCATTGAGTGAGCGTCACCACTCTTCCATCAACTGCCGTTCCAATAAGTTAGTGGCATCACGTGTTTTTATGCCATATTTTACTTGGATGTTCCATTTTGATTTAACAAAAAATAATTATATAAATAATTTAAGCACACATCACTTCTACGAGCCAAACTGAAAGTCATATGTCTACTAGCTATTATATGTAAAGTATAGGCTGTAGAGTGTAGTGTACTAGTGTATATTATTGATGTTTATAATTCTATGGTTATTTGTAATATTAGTCTCCGTCACGATTAAATATCTTTAATCGTGGACTTCATACAAAGTAGATATCACCCGAAAGGTAGATAACATATAATGCGATCAAAGTACAGGTAGATAGCATACGACGCAAGTTCCATTATTATTTTAATATACCACCGATAAATAAACCAGGTTAAAAATAATAGTTAGTAGAAGTTTGATTTATACCCAAAGTAGTGCCATTAATTAATTTATCGACTAAACTGAAGAAATTAAAACTCTTAAATTTTAAAGATATATTAATGTAAAATACTTCATGTTAATAAATATATTTTTACCAGGTAAATAAATCTAGGTACATTCTCTTGTTATAAAATATTCTATATTTAAACTGGTTTACCACTTAAAAGTCGTAACATTATTTGTTAGCAAATGTAACTTAACTCTCAAAAATAAAAATTTTAATTTTATTGTGTTTTTAATCTTTTTTCTAAGTTCATTGAATGTAATAATTTCACTATAGAACTAAATAGCAAAATTAGTAAAATTTGTAAATGCTACGTATAGTAACATTAGTCATGTAATCATTATTAATTTTTATTTTTTATAATTATATTATTGCTCAAGTCCATAGACCTTTGGCCTAATAAATTTAACTATAATGCTTTGTTGTAAAAGTACCCATTAAATGTATACAGTTTACACACATAATATTATGTTTACCTTTAAATTATAGACTATTATATACTGTAAAGATTATACTCATAGATTATAATGTATGTTTATGACCCATGGTCAGAAATAAAATGTATTTTAAATTAGAGGTTTTGTTTAATATGTTTTACATACAAAGGTTTAAACAAAAATTGTAGATTACTATATCCATGATGTAGATAAAAATAATGTTACATTATCATATGCCTATATATATTACACTTTTAATAAAGCATTGTTATAAATTTAAGAAAAAATCATAAATTTTTCAAAACATAAAAAAATTGCTTTAAACAAATAAAACATTTATTATTAAAAATATTATTATAGTATGTAAAATTGATCTTTTATCTTTAATAAATAGGTAATACTTAGTATGTTTAAAATATCAAACAAGTATTTATTACAATGTACTTTATGTAGCATTTTATGTTAAGTATGTGCAAAATATAAATTAATGTTAAAAATATAAAAAGGTAAAAAAAAATTCTTAAACATTTTGTATTGAAATTTCTTTGTTAAAAATGTCTATAATATAATATTTTTTTAATTTAAAAAAAAAAATTAAAACTGTGACTTCTATTATTTTTCTAATAGATATATATTTTTTTTTTATAAAGAGTTATTTTTAAAATTGATATTTTGGATTTACAGCAGTGTATACATAATAAGTAAAACCTTTGTAGTTTAGAAAGTAACACCTTTCTAAATCGTAAATTGTAATTTTATAATATATTTGTTGCATAAATCTTTTTCAAATATCTATAATAAGCAGTAACTATATACTTATATAACTCTTGATAATAGGTTGAGTAAAAATCCCTAATTTTTGTGAAAATTATAGGTTTTATACTATTATCACAAAACATTTCAGCTATTATGCGCTATTCCCAAAAATATTTATAAGTATTATTATAATTATATTTTATCTATTTAGTAATATAATATGTGTACATATGTATTTATATGTACCATGTTATATTATATTACATTTAAAATCATCTTAATAAATTGTAAGACCCTGGGTGATTTATAGTATCTATCTTGGTCCATGCCTACATGGACTGAGGCCAATAATCATGAATTAGTGAGTCATAAGTCACAACTGTACATTTATTTTGGTTCTTCCGCTATTGATTATTTTATTTTCTATTTTATAGTATCTATTATCTATTCTATAATGAATGTTGAAAAATATCTCAATGAAATGTATCAGTACAGAGAAGATACTTAGAAATAGTTGACTAAAAAAATTACTATTAATAATTAATTTAGTCTATTGATACACTAAAAACATAATAATAAAGTAATATTACATATTATACTAAATTTCAAATGAAAATTGATTCCTAATAATAGACTAAAATAAATCATTTTCCCGTTTGATCTATTTATGTTTAAAATTTAGGAATTAGACTTTTTCAAGTGATTTTTTTATTCAGAAGTTTTTTTTTATCAAATATTTTGTGAGTGGTTTCTGGTTGTAAATGGTATCATTTGTATTTAATTGGTACATTTGAGAAATTAAAATTGTTGAAGTTTTAGTACTTCAAAATAATCAAAAAAGACAAAATAGAAATAAAGTTAGTAGTCTGATGTGTAGTAAGTGTCAAGTGTACATTGTCATTAAATAAGTTTCTACTTTTTTTGATTTATGTATGATAGCTAGAGAGGGAATAAGAATTAAATTAGAGAGAGTTAACATTTGAGCACTCCTTAGCACCTCCATAATCAAACAAATGACAACAGTTAATATTTACCTTCATTAATGTTCCTAAGATTGCAATGTATAAAACTAAGTTGATACATAAGCGAATATTTAATTGAATTTTCGAGAGGGTTTAAATGTTTTTTTCATTGTTGCAAAATGAATTTTTCCTATTTAATATTTTGAAAGATTTTCAATATTCTTTTTTCTTTTTTGGGGGGCTTAGGCATCCTCCCCAATCTTAACCAATAAGTTGATGTAATAATATGAATCGCGTAAAACTTGTTTATTATTATTCTTTTGAATATATTCAAATTTCAATTGACTATTATTGTATAATCAAAATATAGTTATTGACTGACACTTATTACTAATTATTATGTTTGAACCTTTTGATTTAAGGTGGTATGAACATGTCTGTAATGGACGGATGCTTGGTTGCTGAAGAACTAGGATATGGATGTACTGGAATTAAAACTGCTCTAGAAGCGAGTGGTTTAGGTGTAAGAAAAAAACATAAATTATAAAAACTAAAAATACAATTTCTTTTGTTTTTATTATTAACATCCTATGTCATTTAGCAAATGCCTGTTATAATTGGTGGAAATAAGGAACAACAAAAAAAATACCTTGGAAGGTTAATTGAAGAGCCTTTGGTAGCTGTATGTTTGTTTTTTCACTATAATTAATGCTAGTTGTTATATGCATTTCAATAATTTGAACTATATTCAGGCTTATGGTGTAACAGAACCTGGTGCAGGTTCAGATGTCAATGCTTTACAAACAAAAGCTGTGAAAAAGGGTGACGAATATGTCATTAATGGACAAAAAATGTGGATAACTAATGGTGGTGTGGCCAACTGGTATTTTGTATTAGCTCGTACTGATTTGGACCCTAAAGCACCAGCAAGTAAAGCATTCACTGGTTTTATTGTTGATGCTGATACACCTGGACTTACACCAGGACGAAAAGTATGAAAAAAAGTTATTTGACTTGGATCAAATTAATTTTATTCATAAATATATTTAAGGAATTAAATATGGGACAAAAAGCTTCAGATACTAGAGGAATTACTTTTGAAGATGTTCGAGTGCCCAAAGAAAACGTATTAACTGGTGAAGGCCAAGGTTTTAAGATTGCTATGTCAACATTTGACAAAACTAGACCGCCTGTAGCTGCTGGAGCTGTTGGCTTAGCTCAAAGGGCATTGGATGAAGCTGCTAAGTATTCTCTTGAAAGAAAAGCATTTGGAGTACCCATCGCTAAACATCAAGTAAATAATTTAACCATATTATTTGCTATTAAACAAAATGTTTCAAATGCATTAGCCTACTAAAATCTATTTTATTATTTACTTAAATACATAAAAAAATATATCAATGATAAAAATGTAATTTGTATTTATTGTTTATGTCTAGGCTGTTGCTTTTATGTTAGCTGACATGGCCATTGGTATTGAGGCTGCTCGACTTACATACATGAAAGCTGCATTTGAAGTTGATCAAGGACGACGTAATTCTTATTATGCATCAATTTCTAAAGCTTATGCTGCAGATGTGGCAAATAAATGTGCTACTGATGCCGTACAGGTGTGTATTGCATAATATTTAATGTAATATTATATTGATTAATTATTGTAACATTAATTAATATCTTAGATATTTGGTGGAAATGGTTTCAACACTGAATACCCTGTAGAAAAGTTGATGAGAGACGCTAAAATATATCAAATTTATGAAGGTACTGCTCAAATCCAACGGTTGATCATTTCAAGAGACATCATTGAAAAAACCAAACAAACTATGTAAATAGTCTTTAAAAACACAAATAATAATAAAAAAAAAAACATTGTTATTAAATTACAAAATTAAATATTTATTTATATATTTTAACATTGTAATGGATTGGTAAAATTTATATATTGAGAAATATTGTTATATAAACAATAAATATACTTTTTTTTATATATTTAAGCAGTCTTATATTTATTACATGTGTATGCAATCATTAATACACATAAATAATTTTGTAGTTGGTTGCATGTAAAAAAAATGTAGCTTGCATTAAGTTAATATACATTAATTAATTATGTTTAAATAAAATGATTAAATCAAATTAACCCTAATGTGCATTAACAATTACATGTAAACATGGTAATTGATAGATGATATAATTTAATAATTTATTATATAATTATCATAATACATAAAAATATTAAATAATATGAGGCTAATAATATTTTGGTTTTCACAAGAACGAAAAAAAATGGTTATTGTACAAACTTATAGGTAACAATACATCATTCATTAAGTAAATGCATAAATGCATTTCTTTAAGTCTAGATAAAAAAAAAATTAAAACAGTTGGAAGAAAATAACTGATCAAATAAATCTTATGCTAATTTATTAGTTATACACAACATAATTAAAAACAACTTTAACAAAATAATGCATAATTCAGTGATGCAATTTCAGTGATAAGCTGGGAATGTTGAATTCCCTTATTTTTCAGTTAGTCCATTAATGACCTAAATTATAATTTAAAAACTAAGGTACAATCATCTCCAAACTTTTCCTCCAAATTCTACCTATGACAATATAATACAACAACTACTAAAGTAAATATATCACTATATATACTACTTAATTTGGAAAAGTTAAATTAAAAAAAAAAAAACAAAAAAAAGACAAAATGTCTGTCATATAAAATAATATAGAATTTATTTTATCCAGGTCAAAGGATTTTAATATCTACATTATTTTCATTTTGATCTTAAATTTCATTGTGTTGATATTTGAAGGTCAAACATTTCTTGTACCGTACTGTGTATTACTTTTAATAAGAGCAGAAGTTTGAGCACTTTCTTCAATTGTAGATTTTCTTGTAATTGGTTGACGAGTTCGCCACGCAAAATTGCTGCGTGACATGTCCACGTCTCGGAATGTATTTAACATAAATATTGCAGTCACAGTAATAAGAAATCCACAAATAATACCAATAATGTCCTAAAATATAAATATAATGGGAAAATGAACAAAAAACTTAAAATTAAATATGATGCCTAAATTAACAAAACCAAGTACATTTAGTTGTAGATGTTCCCATTCCTTGAATAGTATTGCAGATGCTGTTATTACAAGAGTTGTGAACATGACATAATAAACTGGTGTAACTACACTTGTGTTGAAAGTGTCTAAGGCTTTGTTCAAATAGTTCATTTGTATACATACAAATGTAATCAGCAAGACAATAAACATATAAGTTAACCAATTAGTGAATTCAGTTTGACCTATTATTACAAAAAAATATTATTCAATAAAATATTAAAATTTTACTAAGAATAAAAATATGTCTTTAAAATAAATAGTTGATACATGCCAGATATTGTTTCTCTAATAGCAAGTCCAAGTCCTTTACACCACATAACAGTTAATGAACCACTAGTTGAACACATAATAACATACACTATAACATTTGATGAACCATATCGTGGACCAAAATAAAAGAATATTGAAAAAATTATAATCAGCATTATGCTAGTGTATATGATGAAACCTAAAAAGCAAGGAAAACATAATAAGCTAAATAAAAATCGTAATGCATAAATAAATATAAAAATATATACCAGGTTCTGTAAGTTTCTGTAATAAATCTTCAAGGGTGTCAACTTCTTCTTCTTTTGGAGAATGAATTACCATTACTGTAGAACCAATAATACACATAAAGCAACCAATCTAAAATTATAATAATATTCTAATTATTCCATATAACATCAATAAAATTAAAACATAACAACAAATCAATACTTAAAAATAAATCAATTAATAAATATTTACATAAAAAATTAACTTCTATCCTTACTTAAAAACAAATTTATTCATAAAATTATGTAATTTATAAACTGAAATATAGAAAATAGGAAATTACATTCCTTCTCATAAAACGTTTAAAAACAAAACTTAACATTAATCAGTTAATCAGTTAATCACCAACAAATTAGATAATTAACTAGCTATTTATTTAATAATTTATTTTTCAAATTATTTCACATATAACTTTGTATATTACATAATGTCTTTTTTTGATATTGCTATAAAAATGTTTATTTTAACATTTGTATAATGGTAAGTTAATTTGAATTTAGTTAAAACATAGAATTCATTATTATTATTATTAACTTCTGAGTGTAACCATCTAACCTAAATCAGTATGAAAAGGTTCATAGTAAAATAGATAATATCTTAAAATTTAATTAAATATTTTTTAAATGTCCTTATATTTAGTAAAATTCATAATACACATTAAATGTAAGTACCAACAATTACTTATTTTTGAATTATAAAGGAATTAATTTTGTTAAAAACTAGGTTTTTCCATAAAAAATCCTCAGTTTTTCTTAATTTTTTTTTGTTTTCTCAATGGCTTAAAAAAGTGTAGAGAATTTTTCATTTTAAACCCAACAAAGAACCAATTGAATCCGATTCGCTACCAAAAAACTACTCCCAAAGTTAAAAACAAAGCATTTTTCAACTAAAAAGTGATGACAGATACTATAAAGAAAACATACATTATTATAAAATCAATAAATTTATCACTTCTCTCAAAATCAATTCAATATTTATTCAACAAATACTTGAAAATAAAAAAATAATTTTAGAAAAAACAATTTTTTTATAATCAATTATATAGATGCAATATCAATCTAAAATATAATAAACAACTAAGTATTTACTAATAATCTACATTCTTGTCAATTCAACAACTCACAAACAATTGAATTATGTTTATTTGTTTAAAAACTAACTTAAGCCCAAGAAATGTTATTTTTAA